TTCCGCTGTCCTGATTTTTTTTTTTCAGCTGAAGTGGTATAGCCAAAATAAGTTTATTGCACATACAACAGTTTAGCAAGTAAAACCCTCAGTTAGAGAACTTATTTTGTAAGCTATTTTTACAATAAACACCTGTTGTAGAGTTCAGCGTTACCAATTAAATGAGGAAATTGGCACGAGAAGACTTATATCTGATATAATGTAGTCTGCCTGTCTGCTTTGAATATAAAAATGCACATTCTAAGCTAATAAATTATACGTGCTTGAAAATATGTTTGGCTCGCGCCAGTGTTTTGTTCATCAATCTTCAATTTACCTTATTTTTCTTACTCGGAAATAATCTGGAAAGTGCTGCAGTCGACATAAATTTGTGAGTCATTATTGTATTTGAGAAGTACAAATATGGGTAAAGCGATTATAAAACTCTAGCTTGAGAGGAGAATGAATTAATTCATTAAATGCCTTGGCTATCACTTCACATTCTTAATTGTGCTGTAAATGAGTGTTCTTTTAGTATTGTCAGCCAAAATAAGTATACATGAACATACAATGTTTCATTTTTCTGCAATAAAGCTATTATTAATTTTTACAGTGGTCTATCTACATTATTAAATATTAGACCACATTATTAAAGGAGGGCATTTCTAACTATAGAGAAATTATCTGCTCTTTAACCCATTAACCCCTTAACGCCGGAGGGCGTACTATTACATCCTATTTTAAGTGGCTCTAAACGCCCCCGGGCTTAATAGTACGCCCTCCGGGTTTTTTTGTACTTACCCAGTCGCCGGTGATCCCACGCCGGTGATTGCGTTTGGGGGGACTCCTAGGGAGCCCCCCGTGGCACATCCGAGGTCCTGAAGCCCCCCCGGCCATGTGAGAGTGAGGTCCTTGCGAGGACCTCACAATCACTTAGCCGGGATAGCTGGCTGCAGCATTGCCAGCAGGGGGGGCTGCCTGTAATGACAGGTAGTCCCCCTGCTGGCTGGAAATAAAATAAAATAAAATTAAATTAAAAAAATTATATACTTAGATCATATATATATTAGATATATATATGATCTAAGTATATATATATATATACACATATACATACACACACACACTGTCTATGTGTTTTTTACTATTAATATATATATATATAATTATATATATATTAATATCAAATTACACGTAGATTGATACTGATTAAATATATATATAATTATTGTTATATATATATTTATATATAATATAAAAAATAAATATGTAAATACGTTAAAAAATAAAATTAAAAAAATTATTAAAAATAAATAATTAAAAAATATAGAGATGTGTGTTATTTTGTTCTAACTGTATTGTGATATTAATATATATATATATATATATATGTATATTTATATCAAAATACACGTAGAACGAAATAATATATATATATCTATATACATAAATATATACGTATATATCACTATATATATACCTATATATAAATAAAAATATTTAAAAAAATTATATATATATATATATATACATATATATTCACATACATATATATATATATACATATAGTAATTCTACATATATATTTATGTAATATTTTTACATAATTAGGTATCTTAATTAATTACAATTAGCGGGACCTGCCTGACAACCCATGCCGAAAGTAAAGGGAATTTAATTTGCTAGCACTATATTTAACCCTATAACTTTCCAAGACACCATAAAATCTGTACATGGGTGGTACTGTTCTACTCGGGAGACTTCGCTGAACAAAAATATTAGTGTTTCAAAACAGTAAAATGTATTACAACGATGATATCGCCAGTAAAAGTGACGTTTTTTGCATTTTTCACGCACAAACAGCACTTACACGGACGATATTATTGCTGCAATACTTTTTACTGTTTTGAAACAAAAATATTTGTATTCAGCAAAGTCTCCCGAGTACAACAGTACGACTCATGTACAGGTTTTATGGTGTTTTCAAAAGTTACAGCGTCAAATATAAGGCTTATGTTTCATTTTTTTCACATTAAAATTCGCCAGATTGGTTACGTTGCCTTTGAGACCCTATGGTAGCCCAAGAATGAAAAGTACCCCTATGATGGCATACCATTTGCAATAGTAGACAACCCAAGGTATTGCAAACAGGGTATGTCCAGTCTTTTTTAGTAGCCACTTAGTCACAAACACTGGCCAAAATTGGTGTTTTTTGCATTTTTCACACACAAACAAATACTAACGCTAACTTTGGCTAGTGTTTGTGACCAAATGGCTACTAAAAAAGACTGGACGTACCCCATTTGCAATACCTTGGGTTGTCTACTATTGCAAATGGTATGCCATTATGGGTGTAAATTTCATTCCTGAGCTACTATACAGTCTCAAAGGCAACGTAACCAATCTGGCGAATTTCAATTTCAAATGTAACGTGTTATATTTGACCCTGTAACTTCCCAAAACGCCTTAAAACCTGTACATTAGGGGTACTGTTGTACTCAGAGACTCGGGAGATTGTGAACACAATCACGCGAACTGTAACGAGGGTATAATCAGATGTAAACTGGATTACGGATCGGCTACCAACCGGTTCGCCGCGGACTCATCATTGAGTAAACTTTGACCCTGTACCTCACAGTCAGCAGACACATTCCAGCCAATCAGCAGCAGACCCTCCCTCCCAGACCCTCCCACCTCCTAGACAGCTCACTAAGAATGCAGCTTCACAATGAATGTAAAATGGATGCTGTCCAGTAGGTGGGAGGGCCTGGGAGGGAGGGTCTGCTGCTGATTGGCTGGAATGTGTCTGCTGACTGTGAGGTACAGGGTCAAAGTTTACTCAATGATGAGTCCGTGGCAAACCGTTCATGGCGAACCGTTCGTGGCGAACCGTTCGCGAACCATTCGGCGAACCGTTCCGGACATCACTATATATATATATATATATATATATATATATATATATATATATGTATATATATATATAATATAAAATGTCCAAAAGTATAGCTGCACTCACGGTTGAGAAATAAAATCTTCAATGCTTTATTTGGTCATTTAAAATAAGGATCGACGTTCCAGTCCAACTTGTGGACTTTCCTCAGGATCAAGACATGAATTCCAAATATATATACACATAATTAACAATAAAAGTGAATAAGGTGAAATTATCTAACTTACCCCAGGTGAAATGTGTTGCCGACGGCGTTCTGCTGAATGCCGGGCGCATACGTGAAAGTGATTCCACCCCGCATGTGATGTCATCACAAACGGACGTGATGGCGATCAGCACGTTCCTATAGCAACGTGTATAAACAAATGATACGTGCTGAAATAGTCTAACAATAGAGATATTGCAGACCCTTTGATTGTAAAGTGCATAAGAGTGATGGTGTTGAATAGATGAAAGATATGGACGAATGAATCAACAGTGGATTTCTAACATGGTGAACCTATTAGAGGCACCTAATAGTAATGCAATATATTAAATTTCTATAATGTAAGTTGTCACTCTATTTAAAGTGACTCTTGCAATATTTAAGTGACAGTGCATATGAAATAATGTGCATAAAGTGCTGATGGCGCTGAAAAGTGCAAAATAGTGCCAAACATAACTAGTAATAGCAACATCCTGAGCAACATCCTCAGGTATTTCCGTTTTATTGACAATTTGTTAACTATATGGACTGGGACACAAGATGAAGCATATGAAATAATTAATCAGTTGGATCAATTACCTACTGCAATCAGATTTACGGCTAATGTGCACCCTAGTCAAATACACTTTCTTGATCTTCTAATTACCATCAAAGACTCCAAAATACAGTGTAGCATGTACTCAAAACCTACAGACCGTAATACTTGCATTATCAAAGTGCCCACCCGAGAGCACTCAAGGATTCCCTTTCAAAAGTCCAGTTTTTATGTGTCATAAGAAATAATTCCGAGGAAGAAACAAAAGCCATTCAGTTACAAGAAATGACTACAAAATTCTTAATGGTTATGTTTGACATCCTGAAGAAGGCTCCAAAGGAGAGCCGAAAAGTTGATGTGTATTTTTTATTTTTGAAATTAAATTAAAAGTTATATTTTATTTTATCTGAGTCCCTGGAGTGCTGTCCGTTTACTGGAATATTTGTGTATATATATATATATATATATACATATATATAGGGTTATTTACTAAAGTGAAAATGCAAAGTGAATTCAGAGTAAATTTAAAATTTAAGGCATAGTTCAGCTATTTTGACCTTACATTTGAAATTCACTTTGAACTAACTTTTAATAACCCTGTAAATATTATTTACGGTCTCTACCCTCTGCATTTGGCAAGAATATATGGCAATATTCTACTCTTAATAAAGTAAATTTTTATTTACAATTTAAGCAGTAGTCTCTGTTCTTCATACTATCCGCTATGTGATAATCAGTTCCAGTCTGAGAGTCTTTATCCATGTTTGCCAAATAAGTCTCAACAGATTAGCTGTACGTTAAGGTCTTCCAGCTCAGTTAGCTGGAAATTCTTCTAATGGTGAAACAAAAATCAAGAGCAGTGTTCATGTTCAAGTAGGTTGTTCCAATCAGACCATCCAGAGGCTGCCAACAAGTTACACAATGGTCCATGTGAACTTGACAATTTAATAATAAGTTTGGATGAATTTCGTACAGACAATCATTTTGGGAAAAACTATTTGGTTGAACCAATATGGCATGAAAAGGTGCCTATTAGTTTACTGCAATGCAAAAATTGCTAGAAGATTTCTTAGACCAATGGCTAAGTAAAACTCACACCCAGGAGGCGGAGCTTAGTGCTTGAACCGGACGGTCGCATGGCGGTGGAGCTCCGGACTAGCGGACTAATTAAGCACCTTTTTTGGCATCTAAATTTAAGCCAAACTTGCCCCGGGAAGACCCCGAGAACCCCCCCCGGGCTCCATGGGTCGAAAAAATAAGAAGGCAAAACCCGACAAGCCCCGTCAGGGGAATTATGGCGGCAGGCGCACAATGCAACAGGAGCCAAGATGGCGTCCTTGCACGGCGGCTGCTCAGACTTTACAGACGGGTCGTCGTCGGAAGATGGGGGAGACCCCATGGTGTCCATGCCTAACCCACCATCTACACAGGCACAGCCACCCACGAAGACCCCAATCCCTGTGACCATGGAGGCAATTGGGGCACTTATGGCAGACCATCACAAAAAAATTGCGGATGATGTGGTCCTGCTCAGAGAGGACATTAAAGGCATTACTAACAGGCTGGGGGCGGTGGAAGCCACCTCTACCAACCACACTAGTCAGATCGCGGACCTCCTAGCAGCGATCCGGGACATGCAACAGAAAACCCGGCAACACGAGCAACAACTCGCAGCCCACGAAGATAAGTCCCGCCGGAACAACATAAAGCTTCGGGGGGTTGCTGACTCTGTTCCAGAGGCCGAACTCCCACATTTCATCAGGAGATTACTCACAGAACTGTTAAACCCAAAGGCAGCAAAAGCAACCATCCTGGAGGAAATATTTCGCATACCGAGACCAGCGAAGGCCCCACCTGCCGCATCAGGGGATTTAATTCTCCAGTTTCAATCGTTCAGGGACAGGAAAGTGATCCTAGAGGTTGTTAGAGCTCAGCCCACATACCCCTTTGAGGGAATGACCCTCTCTTTTTATGCAGATTTATCGGACGGGACGCTGGCATGGAGGAGATCAATGAGCCCATTCACAGCCCTCCTGCGCCTCCATCAAATCCGGTACCGATGGGGACCTGGCCGTACTCTCATCATAGATAAGGAAGGCACCAAGCATGTAATACAAGACATGCAAGAGGCCACTGGGACACTGGGCTTACTTGGCCTCCCCACAGAACCATTGGCTCCGGCGACACCATCAGCAGGACAAACGCGCCCACACAGAAGATACTCCGCAAGTGCACCAGAGTTTGTTCCGCGGAGACCACCCGCGGATTCATATGCCAAGGCCACCACCTGAAGCAGGACTTACCTCTTATGATCTGCAAAAAAGAACTGTACAGCGCCACACATTCCTTTCGGAGGGTCATGACTCCAAGTTCGCCAGTGGCTCAAAGTTTTTTTTTTGTTTTTTTTAAAACCACACAGATTGAGGAATTGTGTACCTATCCTAAGGAAGCAACAAGCCCGACACTTAGACTACTGTGCCTGAACTATAGTGGCCCGCTTTAACTTTTCTTACCCACGTTAGCCTACTCTCACATAACTTAACAGTCACACGAAAGCCAGTCGGTTCCATCGTGCAACTATACATTAGCCGTCTCAACCCAGCATACATCATAACATCACCAGCAGGTCCACCTTAATATGTATTTCTGGGGTACAACACAGCTTATGTGCTTTTAATTTAAAAATTTTACTTTTGCTTTATTCTCAACTCATGAGCCCACTGAGTCCGCCATGACCACTCACATACGCCATAGGTATCAAAAAAGCCTGCTAAGACACATACTCATGGCACGTAGGAATGTCAGGCCTGTCACTGTCTCTGCGTTTAAATGCATAAGTTCAACTCTCATATACATGTTATAATTAACGCACACAGCTGATATCTTGCTGTTAGAACATAGCCCTTTCACACTACATGTCGTTTATGCTTCCGAATACTAATCTAACTCTAAACTTCAGACAAACAGGCTTAGCACTAAGAACACGGCAAATTCATAATTGCATTTTTACTACTGTTTAGACTGTGTCTTGTACAGTGTGAGCTGCTTATATTATGCTTTTATCAAAGTTTGGGATGCAGCCTATACTGTGCAATCTGTCGTTGGTGTTAGCATTAACTCAGAAGCTACCTACTGCATGCTTAAGTTTTATTATGTTAACTGACATGTTTCTTCAAAATGTGCTGTCACTCGAAATGCCATACTGGTACTCACCAATAATTGTTATAACTGAGCTTGTGGACGCTATTGTGGCCAGACAATCATGTACAGTAAATCTGAGCACAACAAAAAGAATTAAAAAAAAAATATTCTCTGAATCCCATGTATTACACTTATAAACTGAACACACTATTAGGGTAAAAATACACTAAATAGTCAGACGTTACCACATTGATAATTGTAAAGCTGGAAAATAAATAGGACTCCATGGAAAGAGATAAGATTTGCCAAGCTTTTCAAAGGTGAAGAATAACAAAAGAACATATACTTTATCTCAACTGTAGTATGGTACCTCCTGACATAGGAAGTTACTAATTTATGTTACAACGGCCTCTGAATTTCACTGAGTATACTTGGCTCTTGAAAGGGTACAGATCTCATTGTGTGTTTAAAGGTAGTATGTATTTTTGACATTTCATACTAGCCTATCTAGGTTAGGTCAACATTGCATGTATCTGTATAGGGACATATTAAGCAATCCAACAGTGCAGTGGTAGAATGAGCACTCAGTTTAACAGCAGTTACTGTTTGGCATGCCCAAAGTAGACAACCCAAGGTGTTTTTAGTCTTTTTTAGTAGCCACTTAGTCACAAACACTGGCCAAAGTTAGCGTTCATATTTGTTTTTGCGTGAAAAAAGCAAAAAAACTAATATTTGGCCAGTGTTTGTGACTAAGTGGCTACCAAGAAAGACTGGACATACCCCACTTGCAATACCTTGGGTTGTCTACTTTTGCAAATGGTATGCCATCATACGGGTAATTCTCATTTCTGGGCTACCATACGCTCTCAAACGCAACATAACCAATCTGGCAAATTTAAATGTCAAAAAAATGAAATGCAAACCTTATATGTGACTCTCTAACTTTCCAAAACACCATAAAACCTGTACATGTGGGGTACTGTTATTCTCGGGAGACTTCTCTAAACACAAATATTAGTGTTTTAAAACAGTAAAACATATTACAACAATAATATAGTCCATAAAAGTGCTGTTCGTTTGTAAAAAAATGCAAAAAAACTTCACTTTTACTTAAAATATTATCATTGTAATACAATTTACCAGTATGAAACACTAATATTTGAGTTCAGCGAAGTCTCCCGAGTAAAACAGTACCCCCTATGTACAGGTTTTATGGTGTCTTGGAGAGTTACAGGGTCAAATATAGTGCTTGCAAATTAAATTCTCTGCACTTTCTCCCTGTGTTGTCAGGCATGTCAATCAAATTTTAATTAATCAAATCACATAATTATGTTAAAAGATTACTTAAATATACATGTAGAATTTTAATATATATGCATTTATAGGTATTTAAATTCTACGTGTATACTAATGTAATCTTTTATGTAATTATATGTATTTATCTATCTATCTATATATATATAGTTATTTGTATTTTATATATAGATAGATATAGAATGTCATTCTAAGTGTATTTTGTTACCAATATATATATATATATATATATATATATATATATATATTAATAACAAAATACAGTTAGAATGAAATTACATATATAATGTATATAAAATTATATGTGTATATATCTATTACATATATTATATATATATTATATATATGTAACGTCATTATAAGTGTATTTTAATACTAATATATGTGCTTATATTAATATTAAAATACACTTTGTATGACGTTACATATATATATAATATGTATATATATTATATATATAATATATATACATATATTATATATATAAATACATTTCTATTTTAATTTTAAACATATCTAATATAATTTTTTTACAGCTCCCACCAGCAGGGGAACTGTCTGACAATTTAGACAGTCCCCTTGCTGGCAGATCCACAGACAGCTATAGGGGGCCATGTGATCGTTCTCTTTGAGAGCGATCACATTGCCCCCGGGGGGCTTCTTTTGCCATGGGAGGGCTACCTGGGCTGTCAGGCAGTCCTCCCGAAGAGAATCGCAGCGGAGGTAAGTATCCCGGGCTCTTTAAAGCCCATTTAAATGGGGACGGCATAGAATGCCGTAATGGCATTAAGGCTCACCCTACAGTGATCAGCTAGGCAATCAGGCAGGTGATTTTGTTAGGAATACAGAAGGGAAATTTAAAATTAGAAGATTCCCTCCATTGGTGAAACACCTCTGTGTATAATAAAACGTTATGTACAATATGTACTGCGATCAGGGGCGTACCTAGAGCATTTGGGCGGATCCTCTGCTTGGCACACCCCCAAAACAAAACAAAAAAACCTGTAAAAAATGTTAAAGGTTTTCTCTCTTTTTTTTTTTACAATTTGTAAACTTTGCAAAACCTCTGTCAGCCCCTCCTACAAAACCCTTGTCCTGCTCCGCCCCTCCTACAAAACCTCTGTCCTGCCCCTTCTACAAATCCTGTATTGCCCCGTCTACAAAACACCCGCAACCCCCTTCCACAAATCCCCTGCTTATCCCCCCTTATAAAGACTCCTGTCCCAATACAAAACCCCCGACCCCTTCTACAAAATCCCTGCAGCCCCACACACACATTTACAGGCAGACAGTCACACACTCAGTTACAGACAGACAGTCACACACTCAGTTACAGGCAGACAGTCACACACAGTCACAGGTAGACAGTCATACATACACATTTCCTCCGTGCGGCCAGTTTATCAGCTGTTTGCTTGTGTGAGCTGTTCTGGCCCACGGCACCCTAACTACAATGGGACACTGTGCGGCCATGGCTCACACAGCCCCCTCCAGACAGGGCCCGTGCAAGGATTTTTGCCACCCTACGCAAAAGTAAAGTTTGCCGCCCCCCATGTGACATCACAATGCCCCACCCATATGATTTGCCATGTTAACTAACGCCAGTGCTGCAGTGCCGCCGTGTTTACATTAAAAGGCCTGCAGGGACAGGCTATAGACACCAGAACCACTACATTAAGCTGAAGTGGTTCTGGGACTATAGTGTTTCTTTAATGTGAGGTAAATTAGAGCTTAGTGCCACGAATAATATACTAGATTGCCTACTTACAACCAGATGAGGATGATGATCGGCTCTAGCTGCAGTCTGGCTCCACTGGTCTGGTGCAGAACAGGCTCTCTGGAGGCGGTTTGTAACTGTGGTCACAAAAATCAATGTTCTGGGAGAACGGAAGCAGCTCCATTTTTTGGGGGTCCTTTACACAGCTCAAGGTCTGGGTCCCAGGGTCCACCTTCATGTTCAACCAATGAGTTTGTTCACAGGGGGTGGAGTGTGTAGGGGATGTCCTGATATGTGTGTAAGGAATGCATTGTGTGAAATTGTGTTTGTATGTGTAAGGGCTGCAAGGTGTGTTTCTGTGTATGTATGGGATGCATTGAATGTGTGTAATGAATGCATTGTGTGTTTCTGTGTGTGTAAGGGATGCATTGTGTGTAACGGTTGCATTGCTTGTGTATGTGTGTCTGTGTGTGCAAGGGGTGCATTGTGTGTATGTGATGAATGTCAATCTCTCCTCCTCCCAATTTCTCTTTCTCCCCCCCTCCTAATTTCTCTCCCCCCCATTTCTCTTTCTCCCCCCTCCTAATTTCTCTTTCTCCCCCTCCTAATTTCTCTTTCTCCCCCCTCCTCCTAATTTCTCTTTCTCCCCCCTCCTCCTAATTTCTCTTTCTCCCCCCTCCTCCTAATTTTTCTTTCTCCCCCTCCTCCTAATTTCTCTTTCTCCCCCCCTCCTAATTTCTCTTTCTCCCCCCTCCTAAATTTCTCTTTCTCTCCCTAATTTCTCTTTCTCCCCCCTCTCTCTAATTTCTCTCTCCCCCCTCCTAATTTCTCTTCTCTCCCCCCTAATTTCTCTTTCTCAATCTTCTCTTTCTCACCCCCATCTAATTTCTCTTTCTCACCCCCATCTAATTTCTCTTTCTCATCCCCCTAATTTCTCTTTCTCACCCCCCCATCTAATTTCTCTTTCTCACCCCCCCTCCTAATTTCTCTTTCTCCCCTCCCCTACCTCCCTGTAGCGTGGCCGAGCCCTGTATAGTCTTAGTGTGCACTTCCTGTTAGTCCGGCCGGGTACAGGAGACATCTGCTCCCTGTACCCGTCGGACCATCATGCTGCAGGGC